CATCGAAAGATAAAAGGAAGAAAAACTATATCATATAAACATGTGTAACTCCTTTCTAATATCTATTAATCATATTCACCCTCGAAAGAGGAGAATTAAAAACATCATTTACATTTGGTTAAAAATAGTAGTCACTATATCCAAGTGCGTCGTACACAGTGTGTCGACGTTAAAATTTCGATGTTTGAATTTTCATTCAGAAAAAACAAAAATGATATGTTAGTCGTGTTTCGTTAGCTCAATGGTAAGAGCACTGGTCCGGTTAACCAGCTATCGTGTCTTGGGTTCGATTCCCGAACGAAGCATATCATTTTGTTTTTTCTGAATGAAAAATTCAAACATCGAAAGATAAAAGGAAGAAAAAGTATATCATATAAACATGTATAACTCCTTTCTAATATCTATTAACTTATCTCAAATATCTTACTTTTTAAACGAAACCTTGTCTAGAGAAAAATGATTTCAATCAGTGAAAATGAACAAAGAACGATGAATTTAGTTTGAAAATTTCAGATACATTGATGACAAATCATTACTATTCAAACTCATGATGGCATTGACGCTCTTCAGTAAGAAAAATAAAGTAGACGTTTAGTTCTTTCGATTTCATATATTCAATTAAGAACGTGCTCATTAATGTCATTATTATTCATAGAGAAGGATCTATACATATGAAAATCATGAAAAAAATGAATTTCGCTTCCGACTTTGTTGTCAATGATTGTTGCCTATTAGTATTAGTCATTTCTTCTGAAAAATCTTATGATCCGAATATACTTACATCACGTGTTACAATGGTTGTAAAATTTGCTTTAGCATAATAGACAGTTAATGTTTCATGTGTTGCTGTTTTTACAAACGAGGGCTTTATTCCTATAGAAACATTACATTTATTCTACAAAATAATAGTTAATGTTTTTACCATTCTGTTCACAATCCATCCAGTCAGCACTTTGTCCTACAGCTGAGACTGTGCAAATTGCAGTAGTTGATGTCTCATCAAAGAGGATAAGTGTCAACTAGTGTCGAAGAAGTTATTATTGAATAGAAATACAGATTATTACATACTTCATCAATTATTGAACCACTCGTACGAATTGTAAATCTTACATATTTGTTTTTAACTAATTCAAAGTTTCCTGAAGTTCCCAAACAACTTCGAGAAGGTGGCGAAGCTTGATTTGTTGGATGCCACGTTTGAATAAACATGTCTGGATATATGGCACATTTGAAAGAAGCAAGAGGAACAGATGTCGTGGTTGTCGCTACAAACAGAAGATGAGTTAATTAAATCAATATAAAATGATACAATTATGAAGGCCAACAGTGGTGGCATATTATCTGAAGTGTACGAAATATAAATGCAAAAAGACATAAGTGAATGTAGAAGATGTAAAAATTCGTTTAGAAAAAAATCCAAATTTTAGTGTTAGACTCTTCGAAGTATTTTCTCATCTCAACAATGAAGATACTTTCGAAGATGAATATCAATTATATTAATCTTATAATATGTTTACAATATATTTATTAATATATTTTACATATTGACTAATGCCGTTTATGTCCTACCGAAACATGCACTCAACCATGGCAGAGTAAAAAGCCCATGCTCTTTTTTTTGTCATTGTTTACTGTGGTAAATAATCAAAGTAGTAAGCGCAGTCGAAATATCGTGCGTGAGTAGTAGAACGGATCACTCACGGTATCGAGTAAAATCTGACTTCTTTATAAATTTAAAAAAGATTCATCCATTCAGATAAAGCTGTGGATTGAAGTTATTTAGGGAAAAATCGGTAATGATCGATTAATAACGGTGCCATATCGAAGCGTAAAAGATTTAATTTTGTTTTCATAAGAATGGAAGTATCGTCTTCTGATATGTGAATGACTAATATTAATGTTTAAAGATTTCATAAGTTTTTGTAACTATCATAGATGAGGTATATGTAAAAAAGTGTCACACACCTTTGAACACCATGAAAAGTGTGAATAAGATACAGTTCGCAATGACTATTATGACGACCTCCATTCTGAACTAATTTTTGTTTGCAACTGTGATAAATTGTTTTTTCGTAGACATGTAAAGCCATAGACACTCGACGGACACTCATGGGAACTTTGATATTAACTCATGAAAGATGTTTTACAATGAAATATTAAGGCCACCAAGGGTAATTTTCGGATACTTTTAAAAACTGTGAATATCTCGGGAGATCTTCTATTGTTACCTTACTTTTAGTTGTAAAATACAAAGATCTTTAAATTTATGATTTATTGTAAAACATTTTTTACAAGCCAAAATTGAAGTCACCATGGATATTTGTACGGTGTTTGTGGATTTTCATGTCGAAGGAAAAAGATATATTCCAGTTGAGAGCAAAAAGCGCAGTAGAGAACGGTTGTTCATGTAATATTCGTTTCGAACTTTATCCTAGTTTGCGCCATACTCGGTATCTGCGGTTATACACAGTTTTTACAAGTACCGTATGCTATTCCAATGCAAGTAGGCACCAAGAGGGTGTAGGTAAGAATAGTAATAGAGCCACACCAATCTCTCCATCCAGATATCTACACATACACTCTCAAGCCTGGATGATTTCGAGTGGGTAGATGTGCGAGATCATGCGGGTGTGAGTGTAAGGTCATGTAGGTGACGGATGGGGTATCACTGTATATAAATTTTTCGTTGAGCAACATCCATTGAAAATTCTTACTCACGCGTCCATTCAAATTTTTTTGCCTTTTTATGAAATAAGTTTGTGATAAGAGAAAAGTGCAGGAGTGATGATTTCATTGGTGATAGGTTCTCAGAAATTTGAGAATCTCACGAAACAGTTCGTAGAACAAAAAAGTGCTGAAATCGACTGAGATTTCTCACGTATGTAGTAATGATAATTGTTCTATCAATCGGATGACTTGTCAAGCAAACCATCAACCTCGAAGATTACAGAGTGCAATAAGTCAAGAATCTAGTTTTGCAAATGTCTATCTTCTGAAGGAGAAGAAACCTGAATGACTAAATAATACTAGGGATGCAACGGTGATCATGAATTACCGCTTTACCGTCACCAGTTCTTACCGGTAACCGTCACACCGATAACCGATTTTAGTGGTATTAAGCTTATACCGGTTCATACTGGCTTAGGGAGTATTCGGTTTTTCGAAATTTTGATTTTGTTTTCCCTACATCAGGGAAAGTGTTTGTTTCGAAATAACGATTTTTTTGTAAAGTTTGACGACAGGTAATCGTCGTCGAAGAATCTGAATCTGCAATCGATTTTTTGAAATTTTGATTTTTTTCATCAGGCGAAGGATTTTTCTCGAAAGTAACGTTTTTTTTTATAAAGTTTGACAGAAACTAAGCAGGGTTAAGGAATTCACATCCGCAATCGCTTTTCGAAATTTTGAGTTTGATATTTACAAAAGCTTCTAAAAAAATAATTGCTTTTGTAAAAAAATCATTCTTTTCCTAATCAAAGTTTTAAAAAATCACATTTTTACAAAAACACATTTTTTTCAAAGAAAATGAATTTCTGGTAAAACAATAATTTTTTTATAAAAAATGATTTTCGTTAGAAAAAATTTTCTGAAAACATCAAACTGAGAATTTCGAAAAACCTATTGCAGATTCGGATTTCTCGGCCCTGATTACTTGCCGTCAAACCTATGTCATCTCTTTTTTTATCAACTGCGTTGCAGTTACGCGCAGAGCCAATTCTGCGTTGCAGTTACGCGTAACTACAAAATTTTCATCGTAACTGCGCTTATCTGCGGCGCATTGATCGTAACGAAAGTCTCTATCAGAAACTACGGCTACTGTGATGCATATAAACGCAATTGCGTCTCATTACTCGTAGCGTACGATACACTGTAATTGGTATCAACCAATTATAAGTGACTCTTCCTGATTTGTAATTAGTCACACTAGCACTAAAACTTAGCCACACAAGGGCTGTATGAAAGGAAGTCTCCATGAGGCTTCGGTTCATAATTCATTCTACTACAACAGATAGAATATGTATCACGGATATAATTTTTTAATCTTTTAATTTTTTTTATTTTTCTAAATTTTTAATTTTTGTATTTCTTTTTAATTTTTGTATTTCTTTTTAATTTTTTTAAACTTTTTTAGGACTTTTAAAAATTTTCTATTAGTAATGTTTTTTATTTTAAAATTTTTCTAGATTTCTAATATTTTAATGTTTCTATTTTCTTTCTAATTATTTTAATTAGTAATTTTTAATTTTTCTAGATCTTTAATTTTTTTAATTTTTTTAACTCTTTTTAAATTTTCTTATTAGTAATTGTTTTCTACTTTTTAATTTTTCTAATTTTTTAAAATTTTTGTATTTTAAAAGTTTTTTGTAATTTACAATAAAAGTATTAATAAAATGTAAACTTCACCTATGTCGTCTTTTTAGCAACTGCGATTTTTTTATCGCAGTTATGCATAACTGCGTCGCAATTCGATCGTAATCGAACACATGGGAACTTTATTAAAAGTTGTTGCTTTCAAAAAAAGCTCTTTCCGTAATGTAAAAACAAAACAAAATCAAAATTTCAAAAAATCGAGCACCTCTAAGCTGGTATAAACCAATGTAAGTACGTGTAAACCGGTATTAAAATGGTATAGACCGGTATAAGATGGTAAAAACCGGTATTCTCTTTAAAAAAAGTGGTATAATTAACCATTGAGGATTTTAGCGAAGATGTTGAACCTTTTAAGGTTTCATTTGGTTACCAGTAAGCCACCAAAGGTTCTAGATAATTTAAAGAACCATCTCAAGTAAAAAGAAAAGGATTCCAAGTGTTTAGAATAGCATATAGTTATAAAAGGACTATATATAGAATTAAAGAGTTAAGAATAGAAATACTGGGGAAGATATAGGTATAAGGGGTTTAAGATAGAAATAATGGATTGGCGATAGAATTAATTAGCAGTACTAGATTATATGTTGAATGGGCTGATTTTCATCGTAGTAGAATGTTTTTAGATAGAAGAAAAGTAAAATTCGACATATTACCATATTTTGCTAGAACCTTAAAAGGCTCAGAAAATGGTATCTAATTCTAGAACCCTAAAAGATTCAGTAAGATTCCTGTCTTCTTGAGAGAGTGCTAGCCGGTATTAGTCTAATACCGGAAAAAACCGGTTACCAGTGGACCGAGTCCCGGTAAGGAGCGGTTCGTCACTGTTGCATTCCTAAATAATACGCTGTTCACAGAAACTGACTACGGAAGAATACAATTGATTTGTCTCTGTTAGCCGTATACCAGTTAGAGAAAGGTAAAGCTTCTGCACGTTTAGTACGAATCAAATAATGTTTTAGGCGTATCCGCGTAGTAAAAACTTAACAGCAAAAATAAAAAACCACACCCAAATTATTGGGAGTGGGAAAGCGTTGGAACCACAAATCGAAACCGAATCTCAATGCAATAGGCTCAAATTCATCAAACCCAAACCGTTCAGGATTATTGCATGAGAAATGTGGGCACAGCACAAGCCAGACGTCCAGGTCATCTTGGCTGGAGTGACACATATTCATAAATAGTATATGTATACTGCAATATTGTGTGTATTAGGTAGGGAATAATATTTTTCAGGAGGATAGCGTTATAATTTCAAATAGAGTAAATAATAAATTTTATATCAAATGAAAGCTCGTCGAAAATGGGGTTTATCAGTACTAAACAATAAGGATTATGAAAACTTTCGTATGTTGCACTCTCGAAGTTTATAGAACTTTGTAGAATGTAATCGTTATAATCTAATTTTAGTGAGTTGTAAGGCAAAAAACATAAGGAAATCTTTCTGGAAAAAAGTAAAAACCGCATTGTTCTAGTAATCAGAAGTATAACTCAGATTCAGAAGATACTATCGTTCTTTTTGCATTCTACTGTCTGTTCCTCGTGCTAGAAGCTAGTTAAAAAATTTTTTTAAAGTTTTTTTTCTGTCAGATGGTTCTAGAACAGAAAAGTTAAATCAGTTAGTGAAATAATATATACGGTCATTTTTTGATCAATATATTTCATGAAAAAAGCAATCTATCTCTTTGGTGCATCAATTAAGTCTGATTACTTGATAATCGCTGACACTTACAGTACTGAATAGTAGAGAATTATTGAGAGAATCAGATGCATCGTTTTCCGTGAAGCTCACGATGTTGGTGCAAAATTTATAATAGATAGTGGGTCACAGAGAAAGTTCA